GCTGCGGGGCGACGCGGGCGCTGTGGCCGCAGGTGAGGGACGGGGGCAGGGCGAGGGGCTTGGATACTTTTCCGCCCTCAACACAGGAGGGAAAACTAAGCTGGCGTTGTGTAAGGGGGGCTTTGAGGCTACCGGGAGGAGCCTCGGGGTTGCGGCCCCTTGCGGGTGGAGAGACCCATGGTGGAAGCGGCCCTCCGCTCTCCAGGCTGGTCCCCTCGGTCCCCGGGCAGCTGTCAGCTCGGCTGCACCCTTGGAGGAAAGGGGCATCGGTCCCATGGGAGCGAGGGGCGCAGCTTCTGAATCGGGACGTGCTAGACCTTGAATGCTGGAGGCTGCAAGTGAGAGAGGAACTGGGAGGGGGTGGAAATCCTGGTCCCATCCAGTTCTCTGTCCCTTGCAGCCTCCGCTCCGTGCTGCTGTGTGACAGGAGTGGGCGAGGTGGACCTGGGGTCTGACCCCGTCTATGCCAATTGTCAGGTGATGTTCCTGACTGTTCTTGCACATTTGAGCCATGCCCGCGTTGTGAAAGGCTGCGCATCCTATTTCCAGCCCCTGGAGTCAGGATGTCATCCTCCGGGGGTCTGTCTTCTCAGCTGACTGCTTCTACCTGGGCAGGACCGTGCGGCGAGCTGTGCTGCCCTAGCAATGGCGGAGGGGAAACTTTCTAGGGAGCAGCTGAGGCGTTCTTAGAGCTTCCTGGCCTGCTGGGCCGGGCTGGGCTGGTGCAAGGATTGCCTTGCCCAAGTAATAGGACAAGTTCTGGCATCTTGCTGAGTGCAGAGCGAGGTGAACAGGGTATTAAACTTGGGTTCTCAAACCGGTGTCTCTCCCTTTTGGCAGCAGAGCTTGGTGTCAGGACGTGTGCAGTAAGGGTGTGACTGGCGTGCTCTGCAGCGCCAGCAGGAATCCTGCAGGAAACCATCCTGTTTCAGGAGCTGGGATGGGCTGCGTTAGTAACAGAGGTGAAGGAAGTGTTTTTTGTCTTGAGTTCACATAAGTGGCTCTTATTTGTCTTTCTGTGAAGCAGTAAAAACTTGGAGGGCAGGGCATTTGGGGTAAGTGTTTTCCATCCTAGAAGGAAGAATATTCTGCAGCCCTACCACGCTGTGTGCAAGGCCACATGTTCTTTGAAGACTTGTACTGGAAGAGATGGCTGGGACTTGGGCCTGGGGAGGGGGGAGCTCTTTCCTTTGCCCTGCAGCTAGATGCCTGCAGCATCCAATCGCTTCACCACTCTGCTTCCATCTTTTCCTACCTGTAAAACTAGGATAATTTTCTCTCACAGGGGGGACTGTGCATTTTAATTATTCTGTGCGAAGTCCACTGAGACTCCTTGCACAAAAGGTATAGGAGAAGTATCAAATACTGAAATTAATTTGCTCAGGTGCACGCTGACACCTCCCACTGAATGCATTTGGCACTGCTTAACTGCATGTTAAACACCCTTGGGTGCTGACAGCTAGTGGAGAGTCTCCGGTGGCTCAGGGGAGCAGAGCCTGCGCTTTTATCACAGGAGAACCTGAATCCCAAGTGGCTGTGCAATGCAGTGTACAGTACTGACAGGCACGGGGTCCTGGATGGCAGCAGATTTCTTACAGTGTTATGTGGAATGCACATATCTTTGAGATCCCACAGGGAAATTGTTCCCTTGCCTGTCTTGGTAGCTGAAACGAGTGGTTCCTGGCTGATTTGCTGGCACTTGGCCAGCTTGTGAGTCTTTTAATGTTGTAAGATGCGCTGCTATGAAAAGAGGCTTTTCTCAGTGGTATGGGTGGGGTAGCCAAGTCCACGTGGTACTGCGAAGGGATGCAACATTCCCGTGTGTTTGTTTACTGTCTTAATTATGATGTCCAGCCATTCGGCTGAAGTCTGTGCCCCTAAGTGGCAGTGTCGTCTGTGTCCGAGTCTTTTAAGCCATTGTCTCCAGAGCTGCTAGCTTGCTGCTTCACTCTCCAACATTGAAGGTGCTTCCCAGTGTGATGAGGCTATTTGCGCGGTAGTCAGGTAAGGCAACAGGAGCTGTTTCTCCGCTGAATCTATGAATTTCAACAAATAGATTGCTCTGAAAAGCTGTCAAGCATCAGTTGAAGAGTTAAGTTAATTAAATCCAGAGCCCCATAATGGCAGGGCGCTCCCTCATCACATGGACTGAAGAAACCTACATGTGCTGTGCTCAGGGCTTCTAATGAGTGACTGAATCTTTAATGCCACTTCTGCATTGCTGTGGGTGTCTAATATATTCAACCTGTTATAAGTCAAGGGTGAAAGTCTGATGAGGATCTTCCCAGCATAAAACCTGATCTGGGATTCCTGACCTGTTGTTTTCCTTGAGATCCATGTCTTCTGCTGATGGTGGGCTACACTCAGTGACTGCTATCAGCTTTTCTGTGCACAGTTTCAATTGTTTGCTCATTCTGTTCTCAGATATTTGCCTCCCATGAGACTGGGAGAGCTGCCCCAGAGTATGGTTTCAGTGTGAGAGGCGGGGCGTTTAAATCTCAGGGCTGTAGTTGGATCTTCCCCCACTTCCTGTAGTGGCATAACTAGCCGGCCATACCACAGCAGTGGAAAATTGTTTTGTGTTCTCTTGCAGCTTCCTTCGAGTCTCAGTGCTTTGTGCTGACATGGTAACTACGTGGTGGATCTGCACACCTGGTGAACAGGGACAGCTGCTCCAAAGAGGTAACTCTTCTCTGTCAATATGCATATGCTTTACAAAGCCACTTCTCCCACCTTGTTTCGAGCTGGGAAGGAGAGAATGAATTAGAGCATTTTGGATGTGTTTTTTTGCTCTTTGCAGGGTTTGGGGTGGGGGAGTGAGGGCAAGGCCAGGATTTCTCTGGTGTCTATAGGTTTATTTTTTCTTTGAATCAGTTTCTACTCTTATGTTAGTGAAGATAATCTCCTGGATGTGAGCTGTTATAAGGCACTCCAAGCTGCTTAGACAGATGTAGTATTGCCTGTTCCCATTTTTCTCCATGGAGTATTAACTTTGAGGAGAAATGGCACAATTAAAATCAATATTGTTTCCTATTTTGTTGCACGTTAACAGCTCTTCTAGGATTATGGGCCAGTTTAGGATCCAGATGGCACTTAGCTGAACCATTGTGACTGACACTTTTCCCTCTATGCTGACTGCTGCATCTGCATCATGCATTCTTATGTAACTGCCTCCTTTATGTGGAATAAAACCAACTGGGTCATTACAGGGATGAAATGGGTTTTGTTAGGATGTTGCAGGATGTGTACTCAGAGGGCTGTTGTTCTATTCAGAGAGTTAGGAGTTGACACATGAAATTCCTTCGTTTTGCTGTTCTGCAAGTATAGCGCAGTCCTGTAGCAACCAAAACATTTTGTGTAACTTATAACACTGTTGTCACTGTCTGTGTGTGTGTATGGGGGGGGGGGTTGATTTATTTTTGCCACAACAGACGTCCAGGCTACTGTGGCTGAACAGGGAAGTGGTTTGCTAGACAAAATGTGAGCTATCCTAAAGTGTGTGCATCTGTTCTGTTCTCTCTCTTCAGGCAGCTGAGACATGAGCCTCTAAACAACATCTCTCCAGCATGTGGAGAGGATTTTGTAATAAGCCCACATGAGGCGTTGTTGCTTAGAAAGCCATTGTTATACAAAGTAGCTTACTGATGTTCAGCGCTATCCCCTTTCTCAGGCATTGCTTGGATTTTCTTGTTGACAAAGCTCTGTTTTGTACATTATGGCTGTTACGTGATTGGAAATGTGTCTTCTATGCCTTTTGAATTACAGTTTGGGACTCTGCAAATGTTTTTCTAGACCAAAGCACCAGCAGTAAAGGAGATAAGTGGAGACTTTCGTTCATTTAGGACCTGCTCCAGAAAAAGAAGTAATTAGCAATAGTGCTTTCATAGCTAAGGACGAGCTGGGCTTTCTGTTGACGAACTGATTTCTCCCCACCCCCCTCCCAAAGTACTCTGATTGTCACATAATAAATAATCTTGAAAATTACAGCAGGGCAAATATTGGGACCTTTTGGTCAGAGAGCTCAATGCACTTTTTCCTGGTGAACTGATTGATATGTCGTTTGTGCAGCCCTGCTGTGAGAGTCTGAAATGAGTTGCAAAGCAGAACTGAGTGGCTGGAAGAGCATGTTTCATAAATTCATAGATGTTAGGGTCGGAAGGGACCTCAGTAGGTCACCGAGTCCAACCCGTTGCCCTGGGCAGGAAAGAACACTTTTTCAATATGCTCTTTGAAATGTACTGCTCCAGTTGGATTGGTTGGAAATCTCATGTTACTTGAAAGCCTAGAATACAGCTTGCGAAGTAATGCTGAGATACAGTGCTCCTTCCTATTTGACTTCTGCTTTTCAAATTGCTAGAAAATAAACACGTGTAGTGCTGTTGCTTTTGGGCAGCAGTGTTTTCTGGCTGTGGGCCAGAATGACCCAGGTTGTGGGTGAGGTGGGCTGGTGGTAGGATCTGGCTGCTGCTGCTTGTCCCCATTGCCTGGCCACAGCAGAGGCTGGATCCAGTGGCCCTGTGGGATGGCGGTTGCCAACCCCTGCTGGGAAGTACTTAACAGTAGCTGAGGGAGGGATAGTTTAGGGCAGGAATTGGAGCATCAGAGCAAGGTGCTATGTGAGTTTCTCCATATGGCTGGAGAAGCATTTGCCTTCTGAGAAGCTGACTTGGACGTGGGCTGAAATTTAACTGCTTGCGCAAAGGGAAAGGAAGGGCTGAGGTCCATACCAGGAACTGTCACATAATTCTTGCTATTGTGTCAGATCAGAGCTTCTCTTTCTTGGTCTCGTGTAGTGATAGTTGAGGAGCATGGCTGTGTTCAATGGGACATAATCTGTTACTTCTGTGTTTCCTGGTTTGCCATCCTTTGGGCTTTGGGAATTAAACACTCAGAGGCATGAGGAGCACAGGGCACCATGAGGCCATGCAAGCTCAGTGTTGTACCAGTTCATTTTCCTTAAATGTGTGGTTGGGGTGGTAGGTGGTTTGTGGTGCTTGCTGGAGCTTTGCCCTCAAACTGGTGGGGAAGCTTTCCATAAATCTTTGTTTCATTATTGACAAATGTACTACCTTGTCTCAAGAGCGTGCTGCCAGATCTCTCCTCCATGAAGGGTTTGTCAGGCCCAGCATGGCCACTGGGGCTCTGTGCAGCTTTGGTCAAGTTGTCTGTCTGTCTGTCTGTTTGTCCTGTTATTTCTGCAGATGGAAAAACAGAGCTACTTCACACCTGCCGTGCTACTGCTGGGGTTTCATGTTATCCGAGCACACCATGCCTCAGGAATGTAAGCTGTCAGGAGCTACAATGCTGGTGTCACAAACTCTTCTAATTGGCAAAGGAGTCTTGGTAGCATAGGGCTACCAAAAGAGCTGAAACCTTTGTCAAACAAAACCACCCTGCTTATCACCTATGTTTCTAAGCAGAGGGAATCGCTGCTCTCCAAAGGGTGCTTGCTGTATGCATGTTTGTTTAAGGCCCAAGATAGTAAAAAAGCAATATTGTCTTTGGATCCCTAAGATAGACTTAACTAGCTCATATAACACCGTTGAAGCTTTAACACCTTCTCAGAGAGTTGTCTAGATTAGAAGGCTGTTTCCTTCTCCTTATTATGACCAGTATTGATGTGCTTTCTTAAAATCTTCATGCCATGCTGGTGAGTAGGCACAGTTAAATGGCTTGCTCATATAACCAATATAAGAGGTTCTACAGGTCTCTCACACTATATTTTGCTACTATGGGGCCTCATTCTGAGAGCTGTGATATCCCTACAACTATTTTTTTTCTTTTTCAAGTCAAAAGCAACGTGTGTTTTCATGAAGTCGATGTGCTGGGAACAGAAGGAAGTCGAGGGCACTGAGTTCCGATCCTGAATCTGCCACCTTTACCCAGTCATTTACTTGTTTGTGAATAAGCTTTCAGCAAAGCCTCTTGCGATGCTTGAATGAAAGGTCCTGCAGAAGCACAGGATGTTCTTGTTATTACCCAGCCCTTCTTGCAGAGTAGTTAGTGTAGTCCTGTTGGCTTGAAAGTCTCTGTGGCAGCAAGCGTATCAGCTTGCTCCACTCTCCCATGTTTCATTTAAATACCTGGATGAGCCTGTTATACCCAGGACCTACTGTATACCTCACATAGGATTGTAGCTTTTCTTACAAACTCCACCTCCCCCTGTGACAGTCCTGTTCTATAATTACTGATGTTCTTGAAACCAGATCCTTCCACATGGTACTTTTGGGCTGTGAGGGATGAGAGGATTGTAAGCAAGTGCCTTGATATAACGCACAGGGGCCTAAGGAGCAGCAGAAAGCTTGTTTGCTTTTGAAATTCCAGTCTTACTGGGTTCAATGAACTTCTTAACACCTTTCTTTTTCCCTCCCCCAAGGGGAAAGTCCAGGCGTAGGTCCTGAAAGTTCTTACCGTTACACTCCCGAAGAGGAGAAAGCATAGAAGATGTGAAAACTATGATTCACGGTAGATGAAAATTTGTCAAGCGTTTTGTATGTGGGATATGCAACACAAATGTGAAATCATGTCACTGGAATAGGGTGAGGGGGTATGAGAGGGAGGAGGGGGAGGCCTGTCCCACAGCTGGGATTGAGGACCCAGTGTGTTCGAACCTTTCCACAGATACAAGCAGCCTGTCATCTTGAGCAGGTCCCATCAGGTCTCCCTGTCATGATCCCCCCCCACCCTGGAGTGCTGGGCAACTTCACTAGCATTTGCAGAGTGCTATATATAATATTTTAAATATTCTTGTGTGAGTTTTGAACGCTGTCGTGACTTGCAGCTCTGCAGGATGCCTGCTGTGTGACAGTGAGCTCAGGTCCATGTGTCTGTTATAAACGGCGTGGGTGCCAGCAAAAGCTGTGCTACTTTTTTTTTCACTCTGAAAGTGGTTTTGTATAGCAGGGTATACTTCAGCTTGCAGAGCCCATTAGGCTACAAATTGATGCTTCCTAGAAGTTGCCTGCCTTGCTAAACGTGCTGTTTTGCTTGCTAGCAAACAGGCCATGTTGAAAATATGCAGCTAGCTGGATTGCTTGACTCCTTGTATCCCAGCACTTCTTGCTAGAAAAGACTTTCCTGGCTCATGCCAGGGGATGACTAGGGAACTGTCCCACTTTCTGGTGGGGGACACAGAGTTAAAGATGCACTAAACCAGATATTTCTGTTTGTTTGCAAATGCTGTGAAGAGATCTGGTGCCTGTAGAATAGTACTGCCTTTTTGATGGCCTCCTCTGGATTTCAGATGTCTTGTCTTGTTCTGTCCAGCTTTCCTTCTTCTCCTTTTGCTCGTGTGGCCACACTCAGAACTGCAAGGGATGTCACTGGTCACTTAATATTTGTTTACAGCTTCTTGGGCCTTGCTGCTAAACTGTTAAAGATAGTCCCAGAAACAGGACACCCGGTGTACTTGAAAGAGGAAGGGACTCTTACAAGTATTGTGATGAGCTGGGCTGGGAAACGGAGGAAGGCGTGCGTGTCCTAACTCAGCACGACCTTGGACATAACGAAAACTTCCCTGCGTGTAACGTGAAAACAAACATTGACTTAATCACTCTGCATTTTCAAAACAGTCTGCCACTATTGCCTAATGCTTCAGGAGGGTGACAGGAGGACTGGGAAAGGGAGCAGCAGTGTCCTTGTATTTTGGATGGGAGAGGAGGCATGACCATACTCAGAAAGGA